ATTTTCAATAAATAATACACATATTCAATAGACCCAAGGCTAATGTCTAAATTTCTATCTTTACATATTTATAACTGCTATTTAAATCTACTAAGCACAAATTAGTAATATACAGTACATACATAGTGCATAATTTTCCTGACCCCCAAGCAAGTATTTAATAAAGTGGTACTACAGCTGTACAGGTATTATATTTGATATTGGTATATACACAAAAACAATTTTCACATGCCTATCCAATTTGTGTATCATATTACTATACTATATATAGTCTTAAGTATGTACATACATATTGTTACAATTGTAAAGAGGGAGAGTAATTTAATATTGTTCAGTTTAGCTCCAATAGTTAATAGAGGATAGGTATAATAACCTTAATACTATAAAATTGAGTAAGTATAAGCAACAAGATTCAATAATCTATTTATATTAGAGTTAGTAGTAGTTTAATCGGAAGAATTTATAATTTAAGGAAGGAGTTGAATTATTATGATATCTATAGAGATGGCATTATTCTTAAACATATAATAAATAATAACTTAAAAGTGATCCAAAAGTTGATCACTATTCCAATAATAAAACAATGCAATATACATTAAGCATTTCTCTTAACAGTCCTATTGCTTATCATATATCATTAGTTGTAATATTTCTATACTTAGTATTATTTATCTAGTATATGGCTTTTAGTTACTCAGAGAAAGGTCTATTTGGCCTTAATGCTTACTTTCTTTATGTTAATTAAGAGACCCAGCATATACACTATTTATTAATCAATACACATAGGAAGAATAGATTATTTATTTAATGGATTCAAAGGAATTGAATATTTGGATAGGTAAAGGTATTTAAAATTATGAAGTAATAATTATTTATTTAAAATTTTTATTTATTACAATGAATAACTAATCGTCAACTCCCTTTTAGAAATGCTCAAAGAACCTATATTTATACATTTTTGATTTCTATATAAAATAATTTTATTATTCTCTAATCTCAAGGTCTTACAATGTTTAGGCTTCATTATCATCGCGTATACATTTTACTATCTAAAGCATATATGATCTATATGTTATTGTGTATATACTCAGCCAATTATCATATAGCCTGCAGCATATACGCTTTACTCTGCTTAGTAATTTGATAATAAGCCACATTCATTATTCTAGAAGCCTCATGTATATGAAATAAGATAAAAAATGGATAATAGATATAAATTAAACAAGATAAAAATAAAAATAATCTGTAGTTTTGGCTCAGAAACCCATTCAAATCTCAACATATTCCTCTTTTTGTACTTGAGCCCCTGTGAAAATATTATACAGATTAATTAATTCCACTTTCTCTTAAGATTTTTGTTTCCTGGCCTCTTGGACTAATTGGTCGAAATCTTCATTATACATCCTTGTGAGAATGTAAGGAGTAATGGTTCAGGCCTTGCAGAGATTGTAAAGACCTCTGCAAGTATATAGTTTATATACTCTCTGAACCACTTTTTGTATGTCACAGAATTTTTTAGAAAAAGCTTCTTGGATCTTAGTTTTCCAACTTTCTTCTTTCAACCTTTCTCCGAGTAGATAGTAATATTGTAAAAGGGTGTTCAGATTTAAGTAACTTTTTCTTAACTTCTTACAAAGAAAGTTTATTTGGTCTGTACATGTGATTCCTATAACTTCTTCTATTTCGTAAGTGATTTCCCTGTTCTTTTGTAATTCTTTAAAGAATGTCAACATTTTTAAATATAGTTTTTTAGCATCTGTAAGCCTTTGAGGTTTTTCAATAGTAATTTCAATAGGTAGAGGTTTATTGTATATAACTTTGTTTGAAGAAATAATAAGATCTCCTAAAATATCCTCATTCTATAATTGTTGTTGTAAAATGGCTATCATTTTGTTAATATTCTTAGAGAGAGGCAATTGATTCATTTTAAATAAAATTTTAAGGACTAAAAATAAAAAGTTCAGATGAATAGATATATAAAAAAAGTTTTTTTTTTTTTTTTTTTTACTTGATATATCATTTCAATCGATTTCTATGTACAGGTTTCCAATATACTTTATTATTTATAGTTCTTAATTTATATGTGCCATTTTTATAAACCTCATAGATATAATATGTTCTATTCCATTTTTCTTTAAGCTTTGAACTATGTGTAGCAGCTTCTTTCAATTTATACAGAAGTACAAAATCACCAATTTCATAATTTTTTATAAGATATTTATTATTATAGTAAGTTTGCTGTTTATCTTGGGCTTCTTTATTTTTCTTTTTCGCTTGTTAACAGGCTTCAGTTAAATTTCTTAATAGTATTTCACCCCATCTTAAAATATTATTTTGGAGGTCTTTTCAGTAACAGACTCAGTAGGGTATGTAGATAGGGCAGTTTCTATAGGCAATACAGCATCTCTTCTATATACCAAATAAAAGGGTTCATATCAGGTTGTACTATGTTGGGTGGTTCGATATGCAAAAAGGGCAGCTAGAATATAATCGTCACATTCGTCTTCGAATTGGCTCAAACATTTCGCAAGTACCTCACAAAGAATATGGTTAAATCTTTCTACTAACCTGTTTGTTTAAGGATGGTAAGTAGTAAATAATCGATGCTTAACTCTCATCCAGTTACAAAGAGCATTCATTACTTTATTACAAAAATGGAAACCTTGATCAGAAAGTAACTTTTTTGGACTTCCATGTCAACATATGATATTATCAAAGATGAAATCAGCTACTGACAAGATATTGGCTTTTTTAAGACTATAAGCTTCTGGCCATCTTGTAAGGTATTCGGTAGCAACAACAATGTATTGATTTTCTTTTTTAGATAGTGGTAAAGGTCCTACAATATCTATTCCAACTCAGTCAAAAGGTGGCCTATACAAATTGGATGTAATGGTTCTCGGGTCTGGGGTCATCCATGTTTCTGACAAGAACTACAAGATTTCATATAAGCTTTTATATCTTCACCCATTTGTGGCCAGAAGTATCAGACAGAAATTCTTTGATAGATGGAAGTAGCATTAAAATGTCCAGCCATGGAATCAGAGTGTATAGTAAATAAAATCAACTCTGTTTTACCAGATTTAAGAATTTTTTGAGGTTTTGTTAGATTTTGAAGATTCTTTTTATAAAGTAACTATTCACAAATCAAATAATGTCAGGTTTGGTATTTTAAATCTCTAATCATCTTTTTATCATAATTTGGGGGTATTGCAGTATCATTAAGATATCTTAAGTATATATAGTACATATTCAAATCCATTATTCTATTTTAAATTGTCTAAATAGTGTTAAGTTTTTTTTTTTTTTTAATGATCTATTATTAAATTTTTAGATTCGTGAGACACTATTGGCATTCTGATGTATTTTTTCAGCTTTGTAGATTGCTATGAATAAGTACTCTTGAAGAGTTAGAATTTACTGTGCTAGATGATTCTGGGGTAGTTTATATGAAAATAATAATTTCAAGGTTGCATTATCAGTATATAATTCAAAGGTTGTTCTATGAAGATATTGACAATAGTAGGATACAGCCTACACTACAGCTAAACATTTCTTTTTGGTTACTGAATAGTTTTTTTCAAAGGTGAGAGATTTCGACTGGCGTATGATATAACTTGCTCACTTTCTTTAAGATCCAATTGGAAAGAATAGCACCTAATGCTAAATCAGATGTGTTAGTAATAGCAGAAAGGTTTTGTATTTGTCTGGATAGACTAATATTGGGGCCATAATAAGTCATCATTTTAATTCTTCAAAGGCTTTTTGTTGCTGATCCATCCATTTATAATATATGTTCTTCTTTAGTAACTGGTTTAGTAGTATAGCTATTTTGGTAAACTCTGAGATGAATCTTCTATAATAGAAGGCTAATCCTAAAAATTCACAAAGTTGCCTTATATTTCTTGGCATTAGAAATTCATTAATGGCTTTGACTTTCTTGAGGTCTGTTGCAATTCCTACTGCGTTTACTATATACATCAAGAATTTTAGTTCTTATTTCCCAAAGAAACATGTTTGTGGTTTTAATTTTAGACTGGTCTTTTGTAATCGCCTAAATACTTCTTGTAGGTAAATGAGGTGGTCCTTAAAATTTTTAGAATAGATATTTATGTTGTCTAAATATATTATGACAAATTTTTCAATAATATCATGAAAAATTTTATCCATTAGATATTGAAAAGTTGTGGGGGCATTAGCAAGTCCAAAAAGCATTACGTTAAATTCATACATCTCATCAGGAGTAACAAAGGCTGTTTTCTCTTTGTTCTCTTTAGCCATTTCAACCTGCCAGTATTCACTAGCAAGATTTAATGACATGTACCAGGAGGATCTTTTTAAGGAATCTAAAAAGTTATCGATCTTAGGTAAAGGATAATTGTTTTTTTTCATTATCTATTTACTTTTCTGTAATCTATAAAGAACCCAGTTTTCTTTTCCTCTTGTTTAACTAGAATGACTGGCAAAGACCATGGGCTAAAGGATGCTCTAATTATTCCTTCTTTTTCCATCACCTTAATTTCATCTGCTAAGAACTTCTTCTCTCGTAGAGAATGTTGATATGCATGCTGTTTAATAGGTAAGGCATCTCCAGTAATAATATAGTGTTAACATTTATTAGTTCATTTGATTTCTGTTATATCTCTTGCAAAAAGGTTTGAGTTCTCTGTAAGGATCGTTAGAATTTGATCTTTTTAAATCTTTAGAAGACCATCGACATTATAGGCTACTACAGAATTGGCTTTTTCGTCAAAATAGAAATCAAAAAGATCGATGATTTTATTATATCTCTTTAGAGGCGAAGTTTTTAGGATTAAGGATAAGAAGCCATTCATATGGTCTTCTCGATTCCAGAGAACATAGAAATTCATTTGCCAATGATAATCATCAGACCGGATGGTAACAGGAAAAAATAATTCTTCTTCTTCCTGGTTCTCTTTTTTAACCAGTATGCATTCTTCATCTTCTTCCTCATAATCAACATTAACATCAAAGTTCCATTAGGCTTCTTCTGCTCCTAGGTTATTTCTAAGTGCATTTTTAGAATACATATTATCATCTTCAAAACTTTCATCTTCCTCCTCTAATTCAGAAAATTTGTAAATCCTATCTTCTAATTCTTCCTCTTCGAACTCCTTTTCGTCTTCTGATTCTTCTTCCTTTATTTCATCATTTTCCTCAATCTCAATTACTTTCTGCTCTATTTTTATAGATCTGTTAGCTTCAAGGGATTTTGGGGTTACTTTTCTAAATTCTACAGATATTATGACTTCTTTTCCTTCCCAAGTAAGAGTCAACTCAGAAGCATCCCAATCAATCAAGGCATTTACTTGAAAAAACCAATTATTTCCCACAAGCACATTATAGAAGCTTGTATTGGTTACTACGATGTCTATAGAAATTTTCATATTTGCGACAATAAAGGGGAAATTGGAAATCTCTCCAATAACCCTTTTACATTTTTCATGGACATTATCATATTTATTGTAGAAGGTCTATCAATTTTAACTTCTAATGCTTTTAATAAATAGGAGGATATAACACTTCCAGAGGATCCACTATCTACAATTAAAGGAATAACTTTTTCTTGGACCTGTGTGTTACAGTAAAGGGCAATAGATTTATTCATGGCTTGTAAATTTACATTCGCATAAATTTTTCTTTTAACCATTATCTTTTTCTTTTGTAGAGAGAGATTAAATCAGTCCTCATGGAAGAAGCAGCCTTAAACAATTGTTCAAAAGTAATATTGGCCAGTTTATTATGAATTTTAGTAATAATTAAATATGGGTGACTAAGAATGATATTTGGAGAGTGTCATCCTCCAATTTCTTTTTTCTAATTTGCATGGGTTTCTTTGTAGGTCTATTTTCTTCAGGCGTATTACGTTGGATTAAAGAGGTTTGTAGATTTTTATTATTTTATTTTGCTTTCTTTTTCTATTAATATTGCTTTTTCTTTATCTACTTTCTGTTTCTTAGTTCAGGTTTCGATTGAGTTATTTTTTCTTATCTCTACTTCTGCAAGGATGAAAATGGAAGAGTCTTCTTCTCTGATCCCAAAGTAAAAATGTTGTTCTTCTATAGTTTTGGTTTGATTGTTCTGTTAAATTAAATTCATTAGGGCTAACAAAGTTTCTTGAGGGTTTGTATTGGTTGGGGTATTCATAGGTGAATTAACAGAAACCAAGAGTTCATTATTATGGCAGAAGGCATTACAATTCCTGCTTATATGTCTGGGTCAGCCACAGTTATAGCAAGTGAGTGGACTAGAATTCTTAGAGTTGGATTGGTAATTTTTTTGTGGTCATTGTTGATCCTGTATCTGGGTTACTATTTTATTCACAGCCTCAGTAAGCTTATTGATCGCAACATTAGTTCCATTGAAAACAGATATAAGAGGTGAGACTAGGTTATTTTGATATTGAGTAACTTGTAAAGGGTATTCAGGAGTTTGTTCTAAAAAAGCTGCATATGTGGGGTTCTGTTTATAAGTGTTTTCAAATGCTTTTGCTCTTTCATATACAACTTGTAGTGTATTTGGAATAAAAGAAGAGACAGCTATAAATAATTCAGAACGTAGCCCATTTATGAACATCTGAGCTTTTGCTGAATCAGGATATTAATAACTCTCAGCCTTGACTCTACGAATCATTTTCTCTACTGCCACATAGTAAGAATTGACACTTTCTCCAGGAAGTTGTTTTCTTTGTGTAAGTTGGGCAAACTACTTCTCTTCAAGCTTGGGAGTTCAGAACTTTGTTATAAAATTGGCCTTAAAACTTAAGCCTGGATTAACATTATTACAATTGGTGAGTTCTAATTCCTCATTATTACCCACCAAGTGGAAGTCAATTCTTTCAATTTAGGAACAATCACAGGAATTTTCCTAATGTTATCAATATGATTAGCTTCAAAAGCCTTCTTGACATCTTCAAGCCAGAAAATCTGATCTTGTTCTCCTTTCATAAATTTGGAATAAGATACTAAATTAAGCTTACAGAGAGCAACAGATAAGTTGATTTGTAGTGGTTGCACTAATTGCATTTATTGAACCAAATTAGCAATTTGATTTGCCAAATTATGCATTAGGTTGAGGTTCTGAGAGTTTTGGATCAGTTGCTAGTTTTGTGAAAAGAGTTGTTGAGCTATTTTTTTATACTTATATATAAGTATAATAGGACAGTTAAATTCAAATCCATACAATTGGCACCAAATATTACTATTGTAAAGAGGAAGAGTGATTTAATATTGTTCAGTTTAGTTCCAATAGTTAACAAAGGATGAGTATAATAACCTTAATACTATAAAATTGGGTAAGTATAAGTGACAAGGTTCGATAATCTATTTATATTAGAGTCAGTAGTAGTTTAATCGAAAGGGTTTATAATTTAAGAGAGGGGTTGAATTATTATGATATCTATGGAGATGGCATTATTCTTAAACATATAATAAATAATAACTTAAAAGTGATCCAAATGTTGATCACTATTCCAATAATAAAACAATGCAATATACATTGAGCATTCCTCTTAACAGTCTTATTGCTTATCATATATCATTAGTCATAATATTTTTATACTTAGTATCATTTATTCAGTATATGGTTCTTAGTTACTCAGAGAAAGGTTTATTTGGCCTTAATGCTTATTTTCTTTATATTAATTAAGAAACCCAGCATATACATTATTTATTAATCAATACATATGAGAAGAATCGATTATTTATTTAATGGATTTAAAGAAATTGAATATTTGGATAGGTAAAGGTGTTTAAAATTATGAAATAATAATTATTTATTTAAAATTCTTATTTATTACAATGGATAACTAATCATTAACTCCCTTTTGAGAATGCTCAAAGAACCTATATTTATACATTTTTGATTTCTATATAGAATAATTTCATTATTCTTTAATCTCAAGGTCTTACAATGTTTAGGTTTTATTATCATCACATATACATTTTACTATCTAAAGCATATATGATCTATATGTCATCGTATATATACTCAACCAATTATCACATAGCCTGCAGCTTATACACTTTACTCTGCTTAGTAATTTGATAATAAACCACATCCATTATTCTAGAAGCCTCATGTATATGAAGTAAGATAAAAATGGGTAATAGATATAAATTAAACAAGATAAAAATAGAAATGATCCATGGTTTTGGCTCAGGAACCCGTTCAAATCTCAACAACATATATGTGTATATACATATTTCAAAGTATCATAATAATAATTTGAAGTAGATTGCCAACAGCCACGATTGTAACTGTTAACATATTAAAAATATTTTAAAAATAATAAAAGCATTTATTATGTTCAAGATTTAGACTATATAGTTTGAAATTTTGAATAGGCTTCAACTTTAATTTATATACTTAAATATCCATTTCTATATGTATATATAATAAATATATTATTATCTGTTGAATGAATAGTCATGTGATTCTAATAAAAAGGGGGACTAGCGATATATCGCCATGGCGGTATATTACAAAATCCATAGAATAAAATAAAATAAAATAATAATAAAAATCCGTCCGCCCGCCCTGAATTTTGAAATCAATGTAATGCAAAACGAAAAATCAACTTTACGTGGCCTTAGGTTTCGTCTTTTTGAGTATAAGATTTCGTCATTTTAAATTAAGATTTCATCTTTCGTCACTGTACAAAAAAGGTTTCGCCTAACAACTAAAGGTCCACCCAGTCTGCTTAGCAATTACAGAATCTTAATGAAATTAAAACAAATAATCTTTGATTAACATATTGCCTTATTCTAATAATTTGTATATTTTAACATACTTTATTTAAAAAAATCAATGCAAATTTATTCCTATACAATATTAAATTTAAAAAATATAAAAAATTGGTTCTTCAACAGGCTTGCTTACTAAAACAAGTTCAAAAATTAACAAGTATGAAAAAATAATACTTTAAAAACAAACATTGTAATTGGGCAATATTTTTACCTGCATTTATTGGTTTCGGGAGATTTTGATAATTTAAAAACCGACTTGTATAAATAGCT